GTGGTGGTGGTGGTGATGGTGATGATGATGATGATGATGATGATGATGATGATGATGATGATGATGCTGCTGCTGCTGATGCTGCTGATAATGATGCTGACGATGATGATTATGATCATGGTAATGATGTGTGAGAAGGTTGGGAATGCCGAGGGTAGAATGAGGACAATCACTTACACACCGTTGCTGTTGCAAGATGTCCTGTCCCATGCGCCTTTATCAACTGCTCCTCATTAGCCAGAGCAGGCATGCTTGTTCGCTGCCATGCCGTGCAGCTTGCATGCGTCCGAAAAACTCTTGCAAGGGGGCCCAGTGTATGACCGCCAGCAAGGAGAAGGTCCCATCGGCTTGCCGTAGGCTGAGGAACTGGGAGAGTTGGAACGGTGATAACTCACGTCCACCGGGTGCTGGTGATCTTGAGACTATGGAAGGGTAGAGAGTCTGATTGCCCTGCCACAGGAGGTGGCAGATTTTGGCATGCTGAGAGCCCTACTTGCTTTAACATTGCGAGTTCCAGAGTTCATCAAGATTCGCCCGCGTAGCGCGCCAAAGAGCAGTGATCACGATATTTGCGCGCTGCCAGCTACGCTATCCCCGCCTCAGCCTGGCTCGGGCTCGGGTTCTAGCCCGAGCTCTGGCCCGAGCTCCGGTTCTCAGCCTCGCCGCCGCAACGTCTCGGGGTTCCCAAAACCGTGTGGTGGCGGACCGCGTACTGACTCCGGAACCCCTTGATATCTCACCGCGCGGTCCATCACTGCAGGGTCTTGGGACCTCGGAGGCCCCAGTCGCCCGAGACGTCCTCCGAGACCGACCCGAGTCCCAGAACCGCGACCACATCGGCCCTCGTCCGAATGTTGGGTTTCCTGGCCATAACTCGGGTTTCCGGCGGCCGTTCGCAGGCCCAGAGGTTGAGACCAACACCAAGATCGGCGGTGTGCTTCCACCGAGGGAAGACGATCCCGATCTCGGTGATGGTGGTAATATTATGGCTTCCAAGGTGACCGAAATATTACCACCAACACCGAAATCTAGGATCATTGTCCCGATGTGGAGGCAACCCCCTGTGCTGGTGTTGGTGCCAATTTCCAGGCCTCCAACGTTAGGAACGATCCGGGCACCCGCCGCAACGCATCCCGAGGCAGGAAAGCCCATGGGAGCTGTCGAGAACCCCCGAAAGCCTCGGGTCCCAACTGACTCGCCACGCGGTGTGGCCCCCGAAGCTTCGGCCCAGGCTCCGGCTCGGGCTCCGGCGCTCAGGAGGGAAAACTCGTTCGGGAGCCTTGAGAAGGGGGTCAATGCAAACGGGGGTCAGCCAGAGCGCCCGATCTTGCAGGATCCTGCAGGGCCAGGGTTGCATGGACCCGGGCTTGGGTGCAGGATCCTGCAGGATCCTGCAGGACCCTTCGCACTTGCCTGGGTTTGAGTGCAGGCTCTTGCAGGCTGATTACCCGGGTCAGAAGATCCGCGACTCGTTACAGGCACAAATTAAAGTTGATTTCCAGGGAACTGCAGGGAAATGTGTGGGAAGTGGAGGGAAGGCCAATCTCCAGAAAACACTGGAAATATGAGGGTGTTTGGCTTGCGGGCCACAGGCCTTCAAGATGCTCGTTGGGATGTCGCGGGAGGCCTCCCGCCTCTTAGGGGCGTCTTGGGGGCCTCTCGGGGGCCCCTTTGGGCCCGCTTCGGGGCCTCTCTTCAGGACCTCGGGGGACCTCCCTGGGGGGCCCCTTCGTGGCAACAGATGATCGGCGTCGCCCCAACATACTGATACTATGTTTAGGTCGGGCACGTCCCCCTGCAGGCGGATTTTGGAAGGAAAATGATTTTGGAAGGAAAATGATAAATTGTCAAACATATTCAAAAAATAAGCAAACATGGCAGAAACATCGTCCCAGACTATGTTTTCCTATTTTTGAAGATCCCTCCTGTAGAGGGACACGCCCGACTTGATATTATGTGTGCGTCGCCCCCCCTGGGGCGACGTGCGCACCGAGAAATCTTCTAGTATATGCGTCGTGGTGGGCGCTTTCTGGCCACACCGCTCGGGAAACGATCTGTTGCAAGATGGGTATACTGTATATTCGGGTCGGACGCGCGCCTCCAAGGAGGACGTATGGTACTAGTATGTCTCTGTGGGTCCCAGATGAGGAATCCTGGAAGTCGCGTGCTTCTACAGCAGGTTTGCGTCGTGCCGACCGGCGGCGACCCCAGCACGTGCGTTTAAGGTTGAACGCCGCCCGTGGCCCAGAATCGGCATGTTGTGGAACGATCCTGCGTTCACGGCACGTCTGATCGTTCAAGTTTGAACGATCCCCGCGGTGTCAGGAACCAACGCCGGGGTCGACACGACGCGAACCTGCCGTATTTGTGTTAAGTCGGGCGTGTCCCTCTTCAGGAGGATTATTCAAAAATAGCAAACAAATGCTCAGGGGATGATGTTTCGACCATTCTTGATTATTGTTGGGAGTATTTTTGGGCCATTTTTGATTTTTCGTCCACACTCCGCCTGCAGGGGGACGTGCCCGACCTGCGCGTAGCTGTGCCCCCCCCCTGGTGCCCCTCGGGGCGCACGAGCGCGCGGAGCGGCGGCCCCATGGTGCCGCTGGCCCGCGGCGGGCTCCCCGCGCCGCCGCCCGGGGCTGCCCGCGCCGCGCCGCCCCGCGGGCGGCCCGCGGCGGGGCGGCGGCCGCGGCGGGCGCCGCGCGGCGGAGGGCTCCGCGCCCGCGGCGGCGGGCGGGAGGCCCAGGCCCGGGGGCCAGGAAGCCGTCGGCTGTACATCGGGGGCGGCGAAGATCACCACCCACCAAGTGGCGAAGCGTCCTGGCTCCCCTACAGGCCCACCAAAGAATGTTCTAAGAACCTTTTGTGGTTCCCACGACATGTTCTTAGAACATTTCTGGCGGAGTCTGCTTTGTTTTAACACATCGGGCTTATGTTCTAAGAACATTGTTTTTGTTCGTAGAACATGTTTGGGTTCTAAGAACATTTCGTGGTAGGACTAGGAATGCCAGGACGGTCGGTCTCTGCTCAAGTTTCCAGTGGGGGGTCGGGGAACACTGACAAAACACGTGCAGAACCCGCACCCGCATCCAACCCCGAAATTCGGGTCTTCGGGTCAGGTTGGGGTGGTCTGGTAAGCCGTCATGGGAGGGGGGTGATGACTACGGGGGGGTGGATATCATGGCGGGGGCCATGCTATCTCCCCAGATTTCACGGCGCCTCTTCTCATTTCATTGCGCCCCTGCCCCCCCCTGGGCCGCGCACATGCCGCCGGCCATGATTTGCGCCCCTCCTCTCTTGGACGCTCCTCTCTTGGCCGCCCCCGAATCCAGTCACCCCGCATGGGAAGGATCGACAACCTTCCAAGGGGGGTACCCTCGCAGCCTTGCCTCCTCGGTCCATCCTTGGCCACGTTGGTTGGCCGCACCCCGCTCGAGAAGCTTCGAGACGGCCCTCCGAGGCCCTTGAATCCTTATCGCGCATCCCTATGATACGGGCCGACTGCACAGTGGAAGCCCATGCCAAGAAACACCCTGCTATCCTCTTTTTGGGGCTTTGATGGTCTTGCCATGGGGAGCGTGACGTCCCCACGCTAAAACTCCGATGGACGTCCTGGGGTCTCAGGGTTGGGCTTCTTGTGGAAGGTCTCCTGTGGTCGAGCTCCTACTGCACCCATACCGCTACCCTTGCCTCGTGTTTCTTGGGCCTCCTGGGAGGCCCTCGCCGCCACGGCTGCATTCACCTCGAGATCCTGGTCAGGAGGCGCCCTGGGAGAGGTCCGGGAAGCAGCGGTATCAGTATCTCTTGGTTTTCCCACCTATGCTGTGCTTGTCCACCATTGGGTGGCAAATTGCGGCCGAAATACAGTGACATCTCTTTCTTCTATGTATGCATGCATGTACGTAAGTAAGGATGTATATATGTATGTATGTATGCATGCATGCATGTATGCATGATTGTATGTATATATGTATGTATGTATGTATGTATGCATGCATATGTGTATGTTTATGTATGTATGTATGCATGCATGCATGCATGTATATGTGTGTATGTATGTATGTATGTATGTATGCATGTATGTATGTATGTATGTATGTATGTATGTATGTATGTATGTATGTATGTATGTATGTATGTATGTATGTATGCGTGTCTTTATGCATGCATGTATGTACTTGCATGTATATGCATGTATGTACATGTATGCATAGGCATGTATGTAGATGTATGCATATATGCATGTATGCATGTATGTATGCACGCATGTATGGTTGTATGTACGTATGGATGTATATGTATGTTTATGTATGTATATGTATGTATTTGTATACGTATATGTATATGTACGTATGTATGTATGTATGCATGTATGTAATAACTCATATATATATATATATGTTCCCCCATTCGGCTTGCCTGAGGGGTTCTGACTTGGTTAAGAAGAATGGTGCCTTGGGGGGTCACGTTGCCCGTTGCTCGGAGGTTCCCCTGGTTCCTCGGGTTCCCTGGGCTCCTCGCTCTCGGAGCCTCGGGGGCTGCTCTGCCCGTTCCTCGGCAGTCTAAGCAGTGTTAAGCATTGCCAAGCAATACCAAACAATGCCAAGCAATGCCAAGCAACGCCACGCAACGCCAAGCAACACCAAGCAACGCCAAGCAATGCGAAGAAAAGCCAAGAAACGCCAAGCAATGCCAAGCAATGCCAAGCTCTGTGCCCATGCAACAGGAAGCTTTCCCCTCGCCGGGGTCGCGCGAGGTTCACACACACACACGCACATATACACATATATGTATATTTACACACACACACACATATATATATATATATCTATGTATATGTAATTGTTTATATACATAGAGATGTTTTCGTTCTCGGCATCTGTCGCCTCTAGGACTTGTCGGGAACTGCACTACACATTTTTTTCAGAGGCGTTTCTGCGAAACCCCATGGGTCAGGGCCTGGATGCCTTCGTGTGTGTGTATACGCGCGGCTCCCACAGGAGGGCCAGACCGTCGTGATCCTCGGTGGTGGCGTCGTCGGCGTGGCCACGGCGTACTACCTGGCGAAGCTCGCCAGCCTGGAACTTGTCCCTGTCCCTGCGGTTGGCATCATCCGATCTCGATGCCGATCTTCAGGGTTCCTTCAGTTACTGGGTTACGATGTTCAAACCTACTTTAGCCTTGGCCACCAGGAAGATTTCCGAGCACCAAGAAAATACTGGAGCTTGAGAATTTTCACACATGTCGGGCCCTGGGAGGCGATACTCGTTCGACACTGTTTGGACAATTTTCTGGGTGCTCGGAATTATTTCTGGGATATGGTCCTTAAGTGCGATGGAAGCAACATTATACTGGGGGCGCGTCCTTAGGACTGTCGTCGACTTGGGCCTGCCAAGCTTAGGGGCAGGGGCACGATCGAGGCTGGTCAGAAGCTCGCGGGTCTTGCGCGGCGCCGCGTGCGGCCGGTGGTGGTGGACCGCTGCGGGGTGGGCAGGGCGGCCTCTGGCATGGCCGCGGGGTTCCTGCCCCGCAGCGGCTGGGCGCGGGGGCCGCAGGCCAAGCTGCACGAGCAGAGCTTCGACCTGCTGCGGGACCTGGCGGGGGAGCTGCAGCTCGAGTCTTACTCGCCGCTGCCCACCTGGCTCGGGGTCGCCGGTGACCGGGCGGAGCCCCCCCCGGAGGGCTTCCCTCGGTGGCTCAACGGCCGCGTCGCCTCGGCGGAGAGGGTGCCGGACGAGGTGGCCCAGGTCGACTGCCGCGAGCTCGTGGGCAAGCTCGCCCGCGCGGCCGAGGAGCGGGGCGCGGAGTTCCGCGTCGGGCGCGCGGAGGGCGTGCGCTCGGTGGGCGAGCGCGGGCAGCGGCAGGTGCGGGGCGTCGTGGTGGACGGGGAGGTGGTGCCGTGCGAGGCCGTCGTGGTGGCGCTGGGGCCCTGGTGCGTGCTGGCCGAGGACTGGTTCGAGGGCCTCTCGCTGCGGCTGCGGGGGACGCTCGGCTCCACGGCCACCTTCCGCCGCGCCGGGGACGCGGCCTCGACGGACCAGGTCTTCTGGGCGCCGGACGAGCACGGCCGGAGCCTGACCACGCTCACGCGCCGCAACGGGGACGTGTACTGCCTCGGGTTCCGGGGCCGCTCGAAGGTGCTGGGCAAGGGCGAGCTGCGGGAGCTGGCCCCCGAGAAGGTCGGCGCAGACGCAGGCGACCTGGCGGCCCTGTCGGGCGCCCTCCAGGAGGTGTCGGGGGTGGGCCAAGGCTGGGAGCCGCACACGATCCAGGCAGGCGTCCGGGGCGTCATGGAGGACCACGTCCCGCTGATCGGGAAGATCCCGGGCTACGGGGGCGCTGCGATGCTGGCGTGCGGCCACAACTGCTTCGGGATCCTGTGCGGCCCCTCCTCTGGGCTGGGGCTGGCCGAGCTTCTGCTTCACGGGGAGTCCACCAGCATAGACCTCACGGCATTCGACCCTCTGCGCACGCAGATTGTGAGGTGATGTCAGGTCCGTCTGCGAATCGCCGAGGTGATCTGGTCGCCCGTTGCGCGAACCAGGAGCCCGCGGCGCTGAACGCGGGGTTTTGAGCAGTTTTTCGTTTTTGTGTTGTTTCTGTTTTTTTGTCCGACAGATGGGCTTGTAGCCAAAGCGTGCCGCGTGCCTCAACCGCCGCGAGTCACGACGATATTTGCCTGGAGTTGTACAGCCTGGAAGCGTTGGACGCGTGGCGGAAGTGGCCCGTAGTCTGCGGATGCCACGTGAGGGAGTGACAACGGAGTGGCCTCCATCATGCAGCTAGTAGACATTGAGCAATGTCGAAGTAGAACCCAACCCTGAACGCGCCACCCATCATCCGTGCAAATGTTCGGAGTTCCGAGTTTACAGCGAAAGCATCGTGTGGAATATCATCCTCGAGCGAGAATCATAAATCAAGCCGTCCAGCTTCCCATCTGCGAAGCTATGAGCGATACTATTATGCAAACCATCCGCTCTGCCATCCGCGTGACTGTTGGAAGCTCCAAGCCTCAGTTGCCTGCATGGTGGGCAGTATCTGCGCCTTGAGGAAGGCGTTGACAAAGGGCCCTGCCCGAGCCACCCACGCGCCTGGCGATACGACGACAGAGGGAGAGAAGAGTGACAGTGTATATACATGCCCATACATTCGTATACGTGTGTAAAGTGTGTGCCAACATCTCACACGCACGCACACAGACACATGTATACATTTATATGGTCGCCTCCCCCCCCGCACCCCCAAACCACCAATAACCAGAAACAACAACAACAAAACCAAACACACCATACCAACACAAACAACAGACATATACTCTTCCTATAAGTTTTCCCGAAGTCATAGTTGTTGTTGGCGGTGGTTGTGTTGTTGTTGTTGTGACTGTTATTGTTCTAGTAGTAGTAGGAGTCGTAGTCGTAGCCGTAGCTGTAGTAGTAGTAGCAGTAGTAGTAGTAGTAGTAGTAGTAGTAGTAGTAGTAGTCGTCGTAGTCGTATTAGTAGTCGTCGTAGTCGTAGTCGTAGTCGTAGTCGTAGTCGTAGTCGTAGTCGTAGTCGTAGTCGTAGTAGTAGTCGTCGTAGTGGTCGTCGTAGTAGTAGTAGTAGTAGTAGTAGTAGTAGTAGTGGTGGTGGTAGTAGTAATAGTAGTAGTAGTCGTAGTCGTGGTCGCAGTAGTAGTAGTAGTAGTAGTAGTAGTAGTAGTAGTAGAAGTAGTAGTAGTAGTAGAAACTGTAGTTGTAGTAGTAGTAGTAGTAGTAGTAGTAGCAGCAGCAGTAGTAGAGTAGTAGTAGTAGTAGTCGTAGTAAGTAGTAGTAAGTAGTAGTTGTTGTTGCAGTAGTAGTAGTAGTAGTAGTAGTAGTAGTAGTAGTAGTAGTAGTAGTAGTAGCAGCAGTAGTAGTAGTAGTAGTAGTAGTAGTAGTAGTAGTAATAGTAGTAGTAGTAGTAGTAGCAGTAGCAGTAGCAGCAGCAGTAGTGGTAGTAGTAGTAGTAGTAGTAGTTGTTGTTGTTGTTGCTGCTGCTGCTGCTGCTGTTGTTGTTGTTGTTGTTGTTGTTGTTGTTGTTGTTGTTGTTGTTGTTTTTGTTCTAGTTGTTGTTGTTATTGTTATTGTTGCTGCTGTTTACGTTGTTGTTGGTTTGTTCGGCTTCCTTGGCTGCCTCAAGCGTGTTTGTTGTCATTCGCGATTTCGCTCGGCCTTCCTTCCTCCCTCCTGCGCTCTCCTCTCTCCTCCCTCCTTCCCCCCCGTGAGTGGGGAGGGAGGGGGGACTTCGATGAGTCACTCCTCCTCCTTCTCCTCCTCCTCCCTCTCCTCCTCCTCCTCCTTCTCCTCCTCCTCGCCTTCCTTCATTCCTCCTGCGCTCTCATCTCTCCTCCTCCCTCCCCGACGAGGAGGAGGGAGGGTCTTTGATGAGTCACTCTTCCTCCTTCTCCCCCTCCTCCCCTCCATCCCTCCTCCCCTTCCGATGGTGGCATTTATCCATGTCCACCGTCCGCGAAACCTTTTTTCCTGGACCTCGGGAGGCGGTGCAGCTCGCTAAATTCGGCCCACCTGGGGCCCAAATCTATCCACATGTGCCGCCCCCCTGGGGTCCTGGGACACCAGTTCCCAAGGCGGCCTCGTACCTTCATCACCATTATCACCAGCCTCACCACCCTCATCATACTCGCCAGCGACAATATCGACATTATTATTCGATCTTGCGCCGTTATCATCCTCGTCGCCGTCGTCGTCGTCGTCGTTGTCGACGTCATCATCATCAGCAGCATCATCATCATGATCACCATCGTCTCACCATCGTCGTCATCATTTACACCATCGGCTTCATCGTAATCATCACCATCATTAGCATCATCATCATTACCAACATCATGATCACCATCACAATCACAATCACATCCACGTCATCATCCACCACCATCACCACCGTCATCACCACTATCATCAACAGCTACAGCAGCAGTGTCGTCGTCGGCATCATCATCATCATCACCAACGTCATCATCATCCCAATCATCATCATCACCATCATCACCATCACCATCACCATCACCATCACCATCACCATCACCATCACCATCACCATCACCATCACCATCACCATCACCATCACCATCACCATCACCATCACTACCACCATGACTACCTCTATCACCATCATCATCAGTATCATTACCATCATCATCATCATCATCATCAATCATCATCATTCTTATCATTATCATCATCATCATTATCATTATTACCATCATCACCATCACCATCACCATCATCATCGTTATCTTCATATCACCCTCGTATCATCATCACCATCACCATTAGCATCATCAAAGTCGCAGTCGTCGTCGTGGTGGTCGTCGTCGTTGTGGCCCATCTGTCTCTCTCTCTCCTCCGCCGAGGATTCCCGGCGCCGATCGCCGCCTCGCCGGTCGCCGTCCAGAGGCAAAGGAGGCACCGGCCTTCGCCGTCGTCGCGTCGTCGGGGTCGTTGTCGTTTTGGTCGTCTTGGTCATCTTGGTCGGCGTCGTCGTCTCGTCGTCGTCGTCGTCGCCGTCGTCATGGACGTCGTTGTCCTGCTCGTCGTCGTGGTCGCGGGCGTGGGTGTAGGCGTCGGCGTCGTTGGCGTCGTCGTCGTAGGTGTCCAAATGGTCCTCGCTTCCATACTATTTGTTGTCGATGACGTCGTCGTAGGATGAGGTGGAGGAGGAAGGAGGATGAGGAGGAGGAGAATGAAGGAGGAAGGAAGAACGGAAATAGGAGGGGGTAACAAAGGTAGGAGGAGAATGCGGATGGGAGAATGGGTTAGCGAAGATGATTGGTGTTGTTGATTATGTTGATTGTGATGACGCCGATGATGACGGTGACGATTATGATGACGATGTTGGTTTTGAGGATGATTGTGATGATGAGTGCGAAGATTATGACACTGTTTCTGGTGATGACGGAACATATTCACACGATTACGACGAGGATGCAACGACAATCATGATGATGGTAGCGATGATGACGATGATGACTAGGGCTAATATCGTTCCTATGATGGTGATGGTTACGGCTACGATGATGCACATGGTGTCGATGATGTTATTGATGATAACAATGATGAAGAAGCTAATGGTGATGATGATGATGATGATGATGACGGTGACGATGATGCTGACGATGGGGAGGATGAAGACGAGGATGAGGATGATGATGCTGATGGTGCTGCCGATGATGATGATGCTGATGATGATGATGCTGACGATGATGATGCCGCTGAGGATGACGATCGCTGTTATCCTGATTCGGAATATTGACGATGATGCTGGCACGATGATGGCGATGCGGATGATGGTGATAATGATGATGATGATGATGAGGAGGAGGGGGATAACGATGATGATGACGATGATGTTGATGATGTTGTGGTTGATTATGATGATGATGCTGCTGATGATAATGATGTTTTTTTTGCTGATGATGGCGGTGGTGTGGTTGTTGTCGTGGTAGTTGTGGTGGTGATGTGATGATGCAGTTGTGATCGTCGCGGCATGCGCCAAGTATAATCCAGGGAAGGCCAGGAGCAGCTTAGAAGTCGAATGCTTAGCTTTGCGTTCACTTTCGGATGTTGCTTGTGACTTTCTGACTGGTGGGGTGCCGGCCGGCATCCCCAATATGCCCCACGCAACGCGCAAACGACGGAGATGTTTGGCAATCCGCCATTTTTCCATGTAGCTGATTCTATCCTTGGGTATCATCGGCGAGACGTGTGAGATCGCCGCGGCGAAATGAACGAATGAAATGATGCTTATGATGAGGAAGATGTGGATGATGGTGATGATGATGATGATGATGATGATAATGATGATGATACTGCTGATGATGCTCACAATGATGATGATGATGATGATGATGATGATGATGATCGATGGCGCTGATTATGATGCTGCTGTTGACGACGACGATGATGATGATGACGATGATGATGATGCTGCTGATGCTGATGATGATGATGACGCTGCTGCTGATGGTGATGCTGATTACGGTAATGATGATGATGGTGATCATGATGATGATGATGATGATGATGATGATGATGATGATGATGATGATGATGAGATGATGGTTATGGTGCTGGTGATGGTCGTGATGATGATGCTGATGATGATGATGGTGGTCGTGGTGGTGGTGGTGGTGGTGATGACGATGATGACGGTGATGATGGTGGTGGTGATGATGATGATGAGGGTGATGATTCTGATGACGATGATGAGGATGATGATGACGATACTGATGATGATGATGATGATGCTGATGCTGATGATGCTGATGATTGCGATGATGCCGATGATGACGATGATGATGCTGATGCTGATGATGCTGACGATGACGATGACGATGGCGATGACGATGATGAATATGATGACGCTGGTGATGAAAGTGACGGTGATGATGCTCATGATGTTGATGCTGATGATGCTGATGCTGATGATGATGATGGTGATGGTGGTGATAATGGTGATGGTGTTGATGATGTTGCTGACGATGATGCTGCTGAGGATGATGATAATTTTTATATATCCTGCTTCGGAATCTTGACGATGATACTGGTACGATAATGGCGATGTGGATGATGATTAGGAGGATGATGATGAGGCTGATGATGATGTTGTTGTGGATGATGATGATGATGATGATGATGATGATGATGATGATGATGCTGATGCTGCTGCTGATACTTTTTGTGATGTCGGTGGTGTTGTGGCTGTTGTGTTGGTAGTTGTGGTGGTGATGATGATCACGACGATGATGCTGATAAAGAGGTGGATGATGATGATGATGATGATGATGATGATGATGATGATGATGATGATGATGATGATGATGATGATGATGATGATGATGATGATATCTGATGATGGTGCTGATGCTGCTGATGATGATACTGACGATGATGACGATGACGATGACGATGACGATGTCGATGCTGATGCTGATGATGCTCGTGATGATGCTGATGCTGATGATGATGGTGATGATGAGGACGATGGTGCTGGTGATGGTGATGGTGATGGTGGTGATGATGCTGATGATGCTGGTGCTGATGACGATGGTGGTGATGGTGATGATGATGCTGATGCTGATGCTGCTGCTGATGATGATGATGATGATGATGATTATGAAATTTATGATGATGCTGATCACCATGATGATGCTGATGAATTGATGATGAAGATGACGATGATGATGATGCTGATTAGGATGATGCTCATGATGATGAGGATGCTGATGATGATGATTATGATGATGATTATGATGATGGTGCTGATGATAATTTTGCTGATGCTGATGATGATGGTTATGGTGATGGTGATGCTTGTGGTGATGGTCGTGGTGGTGATGATGCTGCTGAGATGATGATGGTGATGATGATGATGATGATGATGATGATGATGATGATGATGATGATGATGATGAGGGTACTGTGCTGGTGTTGGTCGGTGGTGGCCTCGACGACGACGGGTTGTGATGGTGGCGGTGGTGGTGGTGGTGATGATGATGATGATGATGATGATGATTGCTGCTGCTGCTGCTGCTGCTGCTGCTGCTTGGCCGAGTGAGTGACATGTCTTTCCGAACGAGCGGAACGATGTCAGGCGGCTGATTCTGGAACCAGCAGTGGCCAGTCACGCCATCCCTGCTCGCCTGGGCCGAGCAGCTATATATCTTCGTCGTCGTCCTCTTCGAACGGGCAAATTATAATGACGAGGCCACTCGCTGCACATATTCGTATGGTCCAGGGGCAACTGCACAGGCCTATCGTGAGGATCCTTCCTAGGGCTGCAAGGAGTGTACGGCTAGAAGTCGTATATGCTACAAAACTCACTGCTATGCAATATATCGCACTGCACACTGAAAGGTTCAACTGTGTAGACAGGGACAGGAAAGGAGAGGACACGGGGTGGTCAATCTCAGACAACACTGGCGAATATGCTGCTGCTGGTGTTGCTGCTGCACCCTCTGGACGGAAAAGAGCAACAGCAAGCATAATAGTACCAGATTACCAAACCAGAGCGAGACGCAGTTATTTAGCCTCCCCCTCATCGGGGTCGTGGCCTCGAGCAGTACCTGCACCATGTCGGAGGAGCTGGCGCAAGGGACACAGCTCACGAGAGCCAACACAGAGGTGGCAGCCTGGACCATGGACATCACACGTAGAAGCACCATCACTTATCGTCGGCCGTCAAATGTTTGAGTAGTTGCTCTGCCTTCTCCTTCTTGTGAACCCCTGTTGTTTGCGAAACGCCATTGGCCTTAAGGAGCTCGTTCCATGCACTCTGCTTTACTTTCGTGAGGCTGCCAACTGCAACACAGAACTCCTTCGCGTTCGTGGTGTACGAGCTGATGTCTTTCTGCGGGGCCACTGCTTTGAGGATCTCCTTTCTGTCATTGAGCTCGTTCTTCTTCATCTCCTGCGGGGAGCTCCTCTCGGGCATCTTGGGCTGCTTCGTACTCTTCGGTGTGGATGGTGGAGTGTCGAGCGAGCTCTTGGCGGTGGCGATTCCAAGCATAGTCTGCTGCATCTCGGCGAGCTGCTTTCTCACTGCGTCCATGTCTGGCTTGGACGAGCTGTTATGCTTATTTGATTCTCTCTTAGCCTTGGCACCCTTCTTGAACTTGAGCTAGCTTTGGGAACTGCTGGAGCACTACAGGATCCTTTGCTCGAGGAATTGCTTGCCAATGATGTGCCACTTGGGTGGGCCTTGAGCTTGCGGTTGGCAAACTTCAGAAACTTGAAACGCTTGGACTTGGGTGCACTGCTTACACCGAATATGGATGTGACTGCTTGCATGACAGTCTTCTTCACCTTTTTCATGAAAGTCTTGTTCTTGGTGGCCGCCTGCTTCGCATGTTGACGGTGTAAGAAAGCCTCATTGACGGCAGTGGAGGACTCGACCGCACTCATCACATACGCGGGAGGGCGATTGTCATTCCCTTCGCAGTAGCCTTTTCCTCCTTCATTGGACTGCTGCGCGCCCGAACCTGCAGGGCCACCTTTCCAAGGGCGGCTCCACTTTGACGTGGCGTCGAGGTCGCGGCGTCGGATACTCAGTCGGCACGAACCAATGGATATGTATTCCCGCCGGGTGCGGAAACAGAAGAAGGGCCATGAACTCGGGCGTGTCCGTTTCCTTAAGAAGCCTATCGTATTGTGAAGCCAATCGCTGAAACAGGAATTCACCAACACCAGCGGAGCCTCTGGGAGCCCTTGGAGCACGATATCGTCGATAGCCACTCATTTCTCAAAAGCCGTACAAGAGCCATGCATCTTTATCTATGTCGTCGTGGTATGTTTTGGAGGGCTCGGCTAAGTAGGCGAGCAGGTTAGTCGCACTTAAGTATCTCGCTAGCCAGGCATAGGTATGCCATGCGGGCATAGTGTGCATTTCCCTTAGACATCGTATTGTATATCAGTATACGCTCCAGGAGGACCAGGGTACGTAGGATGTGGTATGATAACTCTTCTGGGGCTGAGCTCCATACGGGGAACTTGGCGTATTGGGGATTGGGTTCTAGGCCTTGGGCAAACATTTCATTCTGTGAGACCGGGTGCACCTCAGTATTTCCAGCACTTGCCAGGCAGGATCCGAACCTGCAAGAAGGCCATGGGGAGTGACCTAACTTCTCCCGTGACTCCAATTTCCTGCGGCCTAAGTTTTTCTATGCATGCGAAGCAACAGGATGATCAGAACACACGTGAGCAAAGGAGTGATTCATCGACATAGCGCAAACCCTGACGGAGTTGGTGGGGTTGGAGGTCGTGACATCTGAGGCCAATCTTACTTGCTCTGGAGGTTGAGGAATAGAGGGCATGAATATCCTCGCCCAAGACGTACAGGGTAGCTGGCCCTGACATGGCCCCATCCACCGGCCACCCGTTGACGTGAGAAGATCCCTTTTCCCAGGGGGAAGCTTGCGTCCTGGGCAGCGCATCGTATGGCTCGTCCAAGGTCTTGGAATCGAAAGTGCATCATACTCTGGGGGTAGCCGTTGGCCTGCACAGTAAAGGTGGCCATGGGCCCTGGGTGAGCGTCGAACGGCAAGAGAATTCTGGCCAATTCTTTTGCGGATACGGGCGAGCAAAGCATCGCACCGCAATTTTCCACGTCTAACACTTGCATCTTTGACAAATTGGTTGGCGTCCGCTTTTGTCCACGATATTGGGGGTTTGGGAGCTCCACGTGGGCAACTACATCTATATGCAGGAACGTCTTCCAGAGCTCGTATCTTAGCATGCATGATATATGCCAGGCTAGCCATTTTCCATGGCGTCCACATTTCAGCCCCGCTAAACTTCTTGGCCACTCGTAAGCCTCCGGCAGCTGTGCGTACGTATGCGCGCTGGTATGCATTGGGCGCAGCACACATTTCGCGATTATGAGCATGCGGTTTAGCACGGCATAGTTACCCAGCACGTTTACCAACACATTTCGCGTTCACCGTGTGTTAGGCTCGAGCAGAATTCGCAACTTCGCATCGTCGGGGGTCGCGCCAGCGTTCAGGTATGCATTTACGTGCCCATCTCTCAATGTTCCTACACCACATTCGCACTCCACTTCTCGAGATGTCTGTAGTGAATTGAATCATCCACGAAGCATTGGCCCAGATTCCAAACGTAGTAGCGCCACGGTATCGCAGCTGGACGGCGTGGGTCGTTGTCGACGGGCACCCAACATTTGTTTGTAAGCTGAGCAGTACACCTTTCTCGGAGCTGTTGTAATGGCGAGCAGGTAGGTGTTGGAGACTCCATGGGAAAACAAGCTTCAGCAACTATCTGGATCTCCACGTTCTTTTGCAGTTTGGTTCGAACGAGTCGTTCCAGGCAGGGAATTGCTCTTGCATCTGGCACTTCGCCAAGTGAGCTCGCAACCATTCCGCAAGTTGTGTTGCCAAACTCGTAATAGATAGTTGTAGCGGAGCATCCCAATACTGGTATGTCCATGCCACATCGTGTGAAAGTTGTTCATCGTGAGCAGCACGTAGCCGTCGATATAGGGCAATTGAAAACAAACACCCGTCGCATCATGTTGTCGCGAAAAACCTTCAGACACCAGCGAAAGCTTTGGTCTACGCACTTGCAGTCTATGTCAGAAACATCTGTAGGTGGGGGCCAGGGGCGTCTTGAGTAACTTCATTATGATAACGTCGTATAAGATCCCGGCATCGCATGAATACGGAACCAGGGGGACAGGCCAATGGAAACTGACGGACCTTTGTTGGCAAGATGTCCCAGTCTACAAACAATATTTCAATTTTCGGCGTGCTCGAACTTTAGCTTCGCACACAAGGTGCTTACATTCACCCCATACTTCGAGGGTGTAAGAGTCAACACTGCCATGCCACCATTGTTTTGGGACGTCCAAGCGCGTTGATGGCCCTTCGAGAAATCTATTTCTCAGCCGCTGTTCCGCTAAAGTCAAACTTCTTGTTTGCAGTATTGCAGCCGTATCTGAGGGAACAAACAATGACATGAACATAGCAACTCGGAGTTCCACGCGGATTTCTCGGATCGGCGCTGGACCCCCCCTTTGCCCGCGGAGCGCGCCAGGGGCGGCGCCGCCCGGGATGTCCAGCGCGGATCAGAGAACTCTGCGCGGACCTCCCAGTTTGTATGTTTTTGTCATTGTTCGTTCCCCTAGTATCGCGAAACTCGCGGTGGAGGCGTGGAGGCGCCGCCGCGTCGACTCGCCTTCTCGCACCCGGCGGACGCGGTGGGGCGCGAGCTCTGCCTGCCGTGCGGGCAGCTGTCGATGGTGTCGGGACGGTCGAGGGTCGTCCGGTCTGTCCGATCTGCCACGGTCCCAGGCTTTTTTTTTGGTGGGAGGTCGTACGACGTTGATCGTCAGAGATTCGTAGGCTGCAAGTTTTTTTTTTTGTTTTTGTTCTTTTTGTTGTTGTTGTTGTTGTTGTTGTTGTTGTTGTTGTTGTTCTTTTATATTACCACTCCACGCTATCGGGTATGATGGGAACTTTCCATTTGGCACAACTCTTCGCCATACTCGAGATCGCGGTGGATCTTTCTGGCTGCCGCTTTCTTGGCAGGTCGATCGAACGTGTTGACGAAATCGTTGCGCTTGTCAAAATAATCGCTGTCGGTTGATTCTGCGAGCTCCTGTGGTGCGGCCAATCTACCAGACTTGTGATTCTGAAAGAAAGGCTGCATATAGGAAACCGCTCTCCTGCTGTAAATCCGTGGCATGCCAGTGCTGCCGAAGTAGGAAACTGAGAACATATGCCATCTTTCATTGTTTGTTGGCTCGCAGTAGGACTCGAACCCCATAATTCTTATGATAGAATCGTCGAGCAACATTGAATCCATGCATCGCTGAGATGTGGGAGTAGAGCGTCCATGCTGTAGACGATGGTTTCCCTGCCAACGATGGTTTCCCTGCCATGCTCCAGTGTGCCAGAGCGCATCGTACTGAAGCCCATTTTTGCAACTGCTGTCGGGATTCATCTCGCTGAAACATGCATTCGGTAGCATATGCTGCAATCGGTCGTCCATTCCGTCTTGCGGTATCGTCCTTTGGAAGCTCCAGAAACCGAGCGATGTGGTCCAAAAGCTGTTTTTCAGCAGAGGCATACAGAGCATGTCGAAGGTGTGCGAGAGGAACACGAGGTGGTACAGCTTGGATGCGCAAGGTGGTGACATCCATTGCCAACGAGAGTGGACGGTTCTGATATATGCTCGTTGCACCCGCTGTACAACGGGTTTATACGCTAATACCAGAAGAGGGAAACATCAGCGGACTGCTATGTCGAGTGAGTGACACATCCTTCCGAACGAGCGGATCGATGTCAGGCGGCTGCTATTTGGAATCAGCAATGGCATGTTACGCCATCCCTGCTCGCCTGGGCTGAACAGCTATATATGTCTCCGTTGCCGTCCTCTTCGAATGCACAAATTATGATGACGAGGCTACTAGCTGCACGGTCTCTTTCCTATGGTTCAGGGGCAACTGCACGGGCCTATCGTGAGGATCCTTCCGAGGGTTGCAAGGAGTGTAAGGCTAGACATCGCACATGCTGCAAAACTTTCTTGTCATGCAATAGATCGCACTACACACTGCAGGATTCAACTGGATAGAAAGGGACAGGAAAGGAGAGGGCAAGGGGTTGTTCATTTCCACTAACACTGACGAAACTGCTGCTGCTGGTGCTGCTGGTGCTGCTGCTGCTTATGCTGCTGCTTGTGAGAACCATGCTGCTGCTGCTGTTGAGGAGGAGGAGGAGGAGGAGGAGGAGGAGGAGGAGGAGGAGGAGAGGAGGAGGAGGACGAGCCGAGGAGCAGGAAGGGGATGGCGACGAGGAGGAGGCAGGCGCCGACGACGACCCCGACGCCGACGCCGACTGGCGGCGAATGCGCGAATGCGCAGGCGGGCGGCGCAACGACTCGCGCGGCCGCTGAGGGCGGCCGGCTTGGGTGCCGGTCGCGCCGCCCGCGCAGAGACCCCCTCCAGGGGTGTGTCCCAACGGCGGCCTCCGGGCTCGGGCGGGAGGGGGGGACGGGGGAGGAGGGGAGGAGGAGGCGAGGGCGGGGGAGGGCCAGGATGGGGGAGAACGAGGGAGGGGTGGAGGCGGGGATGAGGGCGAGGGAGGAGGGGAGGAGGGGAAGGGAGGAGGACGAGGGAGGAGGCTTGCGGGGAGGAGGAGGGAGGAGAGGGAGGGGGGGCAGGAGGAAGGGGGAATGAGAGGGAGGGAGGAAAGCCAGGTGCGATCGCGCCGCATCCGACATCCTACCCCTCCCGTCCATCCCTTCCCAGTGCGCTGGCGGTCTCTCTCTATCCGCGGACGCGTGTCATAGCGGGCCTGAAGCTCCAATTTAGCGTGGCGAAGCACGCAACCATATGCATTGTGAGTACCGCAGTTGTGGGTATCGTCTTTGGTGGAGCTCCCTCTGGGCCACGACACGCTGCACTGGGTTGGGGAGACGCATGCGGACTTTGCTACTGGGGCTTCCCATGGGCCACGAAACGCCGTACTGGTTTGGGGAAACGCATGTGGACTTTGCCAATGGGGCCTTCGGTGGAGCTCCCTATAGGGCCACGAAGCGGTGTACTGGGTGGGGGGGACGCATTTGGACGGTGCCCTTGAGGCCTTCGGTGGAGCTCTTTATAGGGTCACGACAACGCTGTGCTGGCTGGGGGAGACGCATGTGAACGGTGCCACTGGAACCTTCGGTGGAGCCCCCTATCGGGCCAAGAATCGTTGTCCTGGGTGGGGGAGGCATGCGGACGGTGCCACTGGAGCCTTCGGTGGAGCCCCCTATGGGGCCACGAAGCGCTGTATTGGGCGGGGGAGACGCATGCGGGAAGTTCCATTCGGGCTTTCGGTAGAGCTCCTTGGGACCACGAAGCGCTGTACTGGGCGGGGTAGATGCATGCGGACAGTGCCACTGAGGCCGTCAGTGGAGCTCTCCATGAGGCCACGGAGCGCTGTTCTGGGTGGGAGGGACGCATGCGGGCGGTAGCGCTGGGGCTTTCGGTGGAGCTCCCCATGGGCCACGAAACGCCGTACTGGTTTGGGGAAACGCATGTGGACTTTGCCAATGGGGCCTTCAGTGGAGCTCCCTATAGGGCCACGAAGCGGTGTACTGGGAGGGGGGGACGCATTTGGACGGTGCCATTTTGAGGCCTTCCTCGTGGAGCTCTTTATAGGGTCACGACAACGCTGTGCTGGCTGGGGGAGACGCATGTGAACGGTGCCATTGGAACCTTCGGTGGAGCCCCCTATCGGGCGTGCCACTGCGTGGAATGCGTGTAGCGTGGAGCCCCCCTTCACGAAACATTGTACTGCGTGGTGGGAATGCATGCGGGCGGTGTCACTGGAGCCTTCGGTGGAGCTCCCTATGGGGCCACGAAGCGTTGTAATTGGTGATAGGGGACGCCTGCGGGCGGCAGCACTGGGACCTTCGGTGGATCTCCGTATCGGGCCCTCGAAACGTTGCACTGGGTGGGAGGGACGC